TCTGAGGTAACGCCACGGCAATGCTTTTCGATTTTTCCGCTTTTTGTCCAGCTAAATTAATTGTGTGTAGATAGTATGTATGTATGCATGTGTGCACGACCTTCTTGACTTCTTGAACGGAAAATGTGAAAACGAAAAGCCAATGTTTCACATATGTAAAAATGCAGCTATGAATGTATGGCAATAGTTGTTGGAATTGCAAATAGTTTGTAAATGCATACATTTTGTTGTACAATAAATTTATGCTGCAACAACTACAAGCTTTATTTGTATGCGCATTTTGAAAATGGACTCTGCTAAGCGGAGCACCTCAATATGCAAAATCCCTTTGAGCTAGGGCAGTTTGAAAAGACAAGAAACCTTCGAAAAGAAAAAAATTATTTTTTCGATCTAATTTCTGGATCTTTCGATCTTCGTATGTATAAAGTATAAGTTTAGTTGATGACAGCAAGTCTTCAAGAGGCTTACATGGTCTTGCGAAAATTATAGAGCTTTAGTCATTATCAAGACCATGTATTTCGAACTATGGAACGATCTTCTTAGAGGAAAGAGCCATGTACTTGAAAAAAAGCACGAAGAAAAGGTTTTGCTACAATGTCGGAATTTAAAATACTCAACACATATTGATCAAAAGTGGAAAAGTGGATTTAGCAGAATGCAAAGCGGAGGATGATGAGAAGCTGGAACATTATCTTAGCGAATGCCCAGCTTTCAGCCAGCTGGCTTCCTCGGCTCGGAATGTTCCAACCTAAGAAACATTGGGCAGCTAGAGTCGAAAAAAATCAGGTTTTTACCATATCCACTATGTTGCTGGATAAGGCTTAGTTTGGTTTCCACCCGGGAGCACAATACGCCTAATGATGGCCTGCGCCCCTCTTTTCAACTAACTGACCAACCATATATTGAGCGAAGATCCTCAAATTTCCACATATTATCGAAATAATGTGAAACATTTCTACAGTTCACAACTTGTATGGCGCTTATAAGTCCCAAAAAAAGAATGTACACTCTCAAGCCCTGAAAGTATTTACTGCAACATCAGTTCTTTGAAACTAAGGAAAAAAAAGTCTATAGTCTCCACCCGCTGCTTGACGAACAAATATCTGATTTGAAGAAATGTGAAATTTACTTAGAGAACCTAATCCTACAATAGCCTTTTGTTTCAGGAATTCAGGCGAAGACTTTTAACGGTGTTTATTTCTTTAAAATTCACCCAAATTCTAGAGGTTTCTGTCTTCATACCGTACTCAAGAGAAGTTAGTCGTATTTGAACAGATGAGATTTCAGGGGCCAGTGCTGCATTTAAAGTAGTTATCAAGCTGCCCTCGTACAGCACAAAGTGTAGGTAATGTTTAATGAGCATGGAAAGTGTTTGGTATGCATATGATTGTATGCACTTTAATTCTAATTAGGTAGCTTCGTCTTATGTCAAGAAGTTTATTACACCGCTATGGATGTAAGGTATTTTATATTTATTGAGCGCCCATTATTTATAGGTCATTTATTTAGGAACTGCGAAGTAGACTTATACTGGAATATGCTTTGTTGAAAAGAGTGAAAGGTCAATGGGTCTGAATTTATGCGCAAATAAAATATACTTGCGGTCCTGTCGCAGGAGATCAATGGGTGTATAGTGAAGAAACTTAAATATGAATTAACATAAGCTTTAAATTGTGGGAAAGTGCGAGTACTGAGAGGCATCAAATGTTACTTAATAATATTAAGGGACGGTATATTACGAAAAAATTAATAAATACAGATTAATGACCGATCGTTGTTATGGCAGTGTTAGACTTCGCGAGATTGTCTGCTCTCGTTAATCTGCATTTGACAATTAACTTTATGCACTCACTAATCGATTGGTATAGCTGCTTACAACACCAAAATTTGATCATATAATACTAAAAGAAACATAGAAAATCTTTTCTAATAAGAAGCTGCCTTTCGCTATGTTAAAATCTGCAAAAGTATTGCAATTAATTCAGTTTTATTTGAGCATCAAATCTGCTTTGTCTTGAAGTTTGAATAACTTAAATCCCCTTTTTTCAGAAAAATAGCTTTTAAACGTTTTCTAGAGAAAATCCCCCAACGAAGCGTCTCAAAGAAGTACTGCTTTTTCCATTTCTTTGGTTATAGTGCAAATACATATGCATGTATACATGTTTGAACATAACAAAATTAAAACATCTTTGAAGCTGCCTGCAAAAAATAAAGTTAAATGAAATTAGAAATATAAAATACAAAAATATTGTCTAGTAATAATAACTTTAAAAGATTATATCCAAGTTGGACCTTTTAAAAATTTGCATACATATCGAATGTACATATATTTGAGAGTATTCTACGAAAATTTGAGAGATATGATATTATGAGAAAATCGGAGATATCAGCATGTTGATAAGAATTTTTCGGCTCCTAAAACTATACTGTGAATGTTAAGCAGAATAACATTCCCCACCTCCTGGCGACTTTTACGGAGGTCCCCCTAGAGATAGCCCGTAGCCGATCAACGGAAATTTTTCAATTTATCGGCGAATATTTAAGTACATTAAATTCTGTAAATGTACACTTTTTTATTTAATTATTTAATTAAATGGCTCTCACAAAAAATCGAAAACTTGAATACTTCAGTGAGATAAAAGAAATTGTTTCATTAACTTCAATGAGCATAATTGATGTTGAATAATCAAAAAACAAAAGGGGAATTTGTCAGAAAAAGTTGTTGTTGTTGTTGTTGTAACGGTTACCTAATCCCCGTTTGGGTGATAAATTCTAGATTCGTTGTCGTCGAGGTCATCTAACGAAAGACCCAGGAAACGAGCTGTTTCGACGGGGTCGGACCATAGGGAGAGGGGTGTTAGATGAGTGGGGTTTGTTGGGCATTCAAAGAGGTGGTTAGTGTCATGCGGAGACTCATTGCATGCAGGACATATGTTGTCAGGTTTTTTGTCAGAAAAAGTCGATGCATTCGCAATGATTTCACGATTAAAGAACCAGAGTGTGTCAAGTGGATAAGACTGGTAGAATCTCATTGATACGAAATCTAAGAATATAACAGCTTGTAAAAATTTGTTCGCTGGGTTATTTGGAAAAAAATAATTTAATAACTTTAATGAGTCCACAGTTTACAGCACCAAAAAATGATAATTTGAGTCGACATGCTGGATTAAATGTGGATATCCAAGATACACCAATACAATAGATATCAAGAAATAGTCCGATCACAACCTATCTCAAGGTCAGCATCTTATTTTTTAGGCGAAATGTTTCTCTTAAGATTAGTAAGATCATTAAATTGAATTTATTCATCGAAATTTTTTCCTTTCTATACGAAACGTGGAACATTCACACTCCACCAGATATCAAGAATTAGTCTAACTGCAGGCTTTCTCTCGGCGGTTTTCCTTCCTTTTTTGAGGCAATATGTGGATACAAACGAACAGATATCAGAAGCGCATAAGCTACTGAAACTCTTTGAGGATTTAATATTTTGGTATAAAAGAATCAATTAAAGACATAATGACTCTAACCCTAAAGAACCGTGATATCCTTTTGTTCTTATATGCCCGCTGTTCACTCTTTTCACAAGATAAAAACAGTCTTAAGTTAAACATTTCAGATTAAAAATCATATTTTTATGATCCTGATATATCCTTCTAATTAAGAAAACTAGACATTTATAGCATTAATTTAAAAAGAGGAGAAGTAAAATAAAATAAAGCCATTTTGAACAAAATAAACAAGTAAAGAAGGGCTAAGCTCGGGTGTAACGGGAAGTACTTTGAGATGTTGACAAAACTTTGTATAAAAAATTTTGCGTAATAATTCAGTTTTCATTATTCGACGAAAGCCGGAAATGATTAAAGTATCGTATTAACTTATATTATAAGACATACACTCACTTAAATTTATTACTTTATTATACTTCGTGTCTGCATTATTTATATTAAAAAAACCAATTCATTCATATTCATATTCGTTGCTGAACCACATTATTTAAAAAAAAAAGTGGCCACTTAATTTCATAAAAATATCACACATTTCAACCAGCATAAACGGTTTCATGTCAGGTGAAGGTCTGGCCTGATTGCGTTAACTTTTGTCATTACTTAAATATATTCGAGAACATGTTTCTGTGCAATTTTATGAATATAACTTATACACCGATCGGCAAATTCGGAAAAATATGTTAAAATAACGAAAATCTTTTTAGGTTTTCTGAACGAGCTGTGATAATTTGTAGATCGATTTTACACATTTATTTACATACAATTATCCAATATTGAATATACGTTTACTTAACTTTGGTAAGATATGGTAAATATTGACTGATATATGCGATATAAAGCCAAACAGGAGTTTGAAATTCTTATAGTAGGTTAATAGGAGCTAAGATTAGCATTGACCCGAGTTTATAAACTTTTGGTATCACGACATACTATTACCAGCAAAAGTTGCTCTCTGCTCATCACGCCCATTTTAAAAACAATTTGTAACAACAAATACCGCTCCATAGTAGTTTGAATATTAATTTTTATCTTCGTTATAGCACTTTATAGGTGTTTGCTTAACGTGGCAGTGTCCCGATTCCGCCCAACAGCAATAGAAAACTTCTTTGGATACCAAGGAACACATGTACTAAGTTTCATTAGGATATCTCAATTTTTACTCAAGTTATCGCTTGCTCAGACAGATAGACGAACAAACGAATGGACGGACAGTCACTCGAAATTCAACTCGTTTCGTCATCGTGATAATTTATATATATATAACTCTATATAACCGTAAGGTTAGCAAAACTATTACACCCTGTAGAAACATGTTGTGAGAGTATAAAAATATAAAATATTTACACAAATATTTAAAAAAAAAAAATTGGAAAAAATTATGGCAAAAAAATAAAAATATATATAAAATTTGCTTTTTGTACAGTGACATACAGCTACTAATATTACATAACAGTTTTGCATTAATAAAAAAAACCTTTTAATTTATTACAGCTTCTTTCACAAAAACGAAGAAGAAATATTAATAATGACTCTGCAAACACACCTTCCATTTGTTACCAGTCAAATAAATCATGAATGAAATTCCTACAACTTAAATGGTGTGCACATGTATACCTATGTACTTTTCTATATACATATTCATTATTCCGCCTGCTTGTGTGAGTACATATTTAATTTATCTCAAATATACAGTCACCCGATTAAAACGATTGGTTCGTTACGCCTGCGCAGTATACACATTTCAGTGAAATCCCTACTTAAGCAAAAAAATTGATATACAATAGCAACAAAATAACAAAATTAGAATGAAAATAAATACTGAGATCAGCACTGAAAGACCCCAAAAAGGTCAATGAGCAAAGCGCTGATTTTTTATTCATACCTCACGGCGCGCTTAACACCACAATAACAATAAACTAGACACCAATTCCAGCTCCAACCACAAATCTACACACATTAATATAAATATAAAAATAAGTGGTTGATTAACTGAGTGACAAACTGCAAAAATGAATGAATGTACGACTGAACCTACTCTAAGGGTAGTCAATATACATAATTCAAATTGTCACTTGACACCTTTATGGTATAAACTTACTCACACATCCATAGAGACAATCAAAAAATGTAACAGGGTGGTTCTATAACTACGAAAATTATAACAAATAAAATTATTAAAACTTTTATTTATTTATGCAAATTAAAGTTTTGTTTTTGTATTCTTATCCACTCTGCATTTCCTTTACCTAAATTTTAAAAATCAAGCTCAATGTATTTCACACATTTCTAAGTATCTAAAAGTAAACTTAAATGAGCTAAAAGTGGTTTGAAGCGCAAACTCAATTGGATTTCAATTGGATTAGTTAAGAGAAATAAGCAAAATCTTGTGGTTAAAAAAAAATTATTTTAACGACGTATGAAAATAAAAGCCGAGATGTGCACTGACAAGACTCGATCCCTGCCTTTTTTGGTAGGCAATGGCAATGTATTTATACCTCTCACAAAATCTTTGGATTCGATTGGAAATATGTATATAGGATCTACCAACAAGAGCGACGTGGTGTTAAAATGAAATAAAACACTCAAATTTGGTCCAAATGGGTTCTGCTTTTTTTGTTATGCAGATAATCCATCCGTTAACACCTATTTTCGATGACCCGTTGCAGCATTTCAGCTATAGTACGCTGAATGTTGTCTTCGAGGCCCTCGAGCGTTGCTGGTTGATTGGCGTAAGCCTGTGATTTAACATACCCCCATAAAAATAATCTAGAGGCATTAAGTCGTATGATCTTGGCGGTCGTTTAACTGGGCCATTTCTCGAAATTAATGAGTCGCAATGTGTCCATGTTTAGACGTGTAGCATAAAACGTTGCACCGTCTTGTTGTAAATAGAGCTTCCGCGTTGATTTTATCAAATTTCGGGAAATAAAAGTCGTCTTATAACACTTTATATTGATAGTAACGGCATTTTCTGTCTCATTTCGAAAGAAATAAGACACGATCATGCTGCCATACCCCAATCGGCACCAAATGGTCAATACGATGATTTCATTCATCACAACAGCGACAATTTTGTTTGTTGACGAAGTCATTAAGCCAGAGGCCCTCATCTAAGAAGATGGTTTTTCGTTTTAAAGTAGCCAATGGGGAACGTGAATTTGCGTAAAATTGTTGGGCAATTTCCAAGCATTGTACCAAAGTGAAATGTGACCTGATGAAATGACAAACCTTACTCAACACACTGACAAAATTTTACAAAAAAAGCATAAACAAACATGGCCGCCAGTAGCTGTCAAAATCACGTCATCCCTATTGGTATATGTACAATACATACTAAACGCTTATTGTGGCTGAGTGCATGGAGCATGGACCGGATGACTCGATATGGCCTATGAGCTAAAATTTCGCGACCTTTTAGCTAGCTAATCTCTTAGTAATGGATGCTGAAGTTAAGATTTAGTTGAAAATAAAACAGAGAAGATAGAAAAGATTACACCAAAAATTATGAAGAAGGTCCCCTAGAAAAGATATGTAACATAAGAGACAAATAACTGTAATTTTTAATACGCTGCATACGTCTATATATCTGTGTACATATATGTAACTATAAAATTTGTATGGAAACCACCTCATCAATATGGGTCCATAATATTTTATAAGTGTCGCCTTATATTTGAACATTGACTAATCCGCAATGACAGCGACACGTGTGCGTTTGTAGAATCAGCGAAAGGAATTTTTTTCTATAGAAAATAATTAATTGGCAACACTTGTAGCTGCTCGCTGTTGCCATGGCTTATGCGCGTTGTTGCTACTAATTAGGTACATATCTATGGTTATATGTATTTCCACATGACGCAAGGCCTTTTTTATCGTAATATAAAATTTGCATAATGAAACTATTGTAAATATACATACGTAATTTAATTAAAAAAGGTAAGTGAAAATGTAATAAAAAATTCCATTAAATTGTTATTTAATTGTTGTAAGAACCGCATAAGTTTAATAAAATTCAAACGACAATAGGAGCTATTACGTGTTGTTGTAATTAATTGTAATGCTATAATTGATTACAAAGAATTTTATGGGCAGACAAATCGTTTAATGCTGAATAAAACACGTCTATTTATGGAGAGTCGCCGAGATTACATTATTAAGCAGCACGGCTGTTGGTTCGGACAAATTGTACATAGCTAATGAGTGAGAATAAATTTTGACTGATAGGGTGTAATGCAATCCACTCTACATTCAAATGCACTCGATTTCAGTTTGGTGTCTATAACTAGATTCGTGCGGATTGCCAAGAGATGAACTGGGTTGGCGAACGTGCCGAAAGTAGTTTGCTCGTTTTAAAAGTGGTGATTTTGTTTCGGAAGACAAAAAACTTCAGAAAGCCAAAAACGTTTGAAGATGTGGAACTCGAAGTTTAACTCGATGAAAAAACAAATGTGAAACGTGACCAACCAAGCAAATCAACGGCAAAGCGCTACCGACAACCAGTCATAAAGTTGAAGTGAGCGATTACCGAAAAACGCCCGGAATTTGCTACTAGACACGAGACAATAATTTTTCTTTATGATATTGCTCGGCCTCATGTTGTAAAATCGGTTAAAAACTATTGAGAAAACATCGGCGAAAAAGTTTTGCCCCAGCCGCCTTATAGAACAGACCTTTCTCCTTCTGACCCCCATTTGTTTTAGTCGATGTAAAACGCTCTGACTAGAATACGGTTAAAATCGGAACATAGTACCAAAAATGGTTTCATTTATTCATGGCCGCCAAGAATTCTTGGCCAGGCACTGTTTAAAATAGAGCTGGCGATGCTTTTTTTTACTTTAATTAGGGTATATTAAGCTTGTCACGAAGTTAATAACACCCAGAAGAAAACGTCAGAGTTCCTGAGTCGATTTGTCCATGTGCACACTTATATCTATATATGTAACAAGCCTTCCAGTTTTTGATATATCGATCTCAAGTTTTGTCCAAGTTCTTTTCTTCCCAAGAAGCGGCTCAGTTCTGGGAACAATAGCGGACCACTATAGGACATAACCGCCACACAAAGCGACCTATCAAAATCAAAATAAAGATATTCATAAAAGAGCTGTTTTCTTTTATACGTATCCAGCAACGTGGGCAGTTCTTCAGTAGACGAGGAGATTTGAGTACTAAGCTAGCTTAATTAAATTTTATCTCAAGCTAATAATTCTTATCGACTATCTGAAGAAGTTTCCTGTTTAAAGTAAGAAATCGGTAATGATGAGATAATAACCGAGATTGCAGCCTACTTTAAAACAAAAAAAACAGATACCACAAAAGTTGAAAGATCGCAGTAATTATTGAATCGCTTTGCATGGCAACTACGAGTATTTTATATAGCATCGAATTTTGCCAAAAAAACAACGGAAAACGAGGAACGGCCCATAGATGATAGAAGATCGGATTCAGGAAGATAAAACGAAATGCTAGCGACTCGTAGAGTACTACGTAGAACCTTAAAAAATATGAGAAATATTAGTAAAAGCTGTATGAGGAGAACAGAGATAAAAGGAAGACTTTCTGGTCATTCAAGTGCGTGAAAATAGCGGAAATGGCTGTCAAGCGGCAAAACAAATTATTGCTAAGCCAACAAATGAATTCCAAGGCAGAAAAAATCATGCAAACACACCGATGAACGGTAGCGACTTTATACAATGACTATTCTGAGGCTGCACACTTGGCCGCAGATAGTTTGCATCAATTGCATGCAAATCGCTTGGCAACGCCTACTGTTGCAATGAGGCTAGTTGCCGCAATAGCTGTTGAGTGTCCTGTTGTAGCAACTCACATGCAAACACACGTGTACGCAATGCGCTGCGACGACTAGCTGTTGAATGAACTCAATTTCTTCAATTACTGTTGTTTTTGTTGTTTGGAAACCAGTTTGTCGCTATGGCAAACGGAAATAGCGTTGCAATGTACAAGCAAAGAGGACAATGAGCGCAAAACGAGATGCGTTGGTTGAGACATGCGGTGCAACAATAGCAACAGCAAGGATTTGCAACAACAACAACTATAGCAAAACGAATAGTAGGATAGACTGAACAGAACAGGAAGACGTTGCAAGTGACGCTAGAATGGCTTGAGGCGGCGACACAGAAAAAACCATAACAACAACAAAACTGTCAATTGCAATAACAACGCTCATACATTCCACAAACATCATACAAGCGGACAACTTGTCAAAGTTTTTCCTGTTAGCGTGGCTTGACCAGGCAACTTGTTATTGTTGTTTTTCTATACTTGTTGTAGGTATTTGTTGTTGTTATTGCACACTGCGACACCTGCTGTTACTGTTGGTGCGACTGGTCATTCAGCACCGTGCCGCTTATCGCCATTTACTAGCTGTGGCGTCATACATGCAAATGCTGTTGCAACAACAGCAACAGCATATTGGTGGCAAGCACATGCATTTACCACACATATGCACATATGTACATACATATGTATATTTCGAAGGCAGACAGACATACGATAAATTTCGTGTCATGTATAATAATTCGCAATAGCTATACAACAAAAACAACAACAACATTTGTTTGTAGCAACAACCAAAATACAACAAGCAATGATTTTGCGTAATGATAATAAACCACAATTAAAAATGCATGTTGCATGTGTT